CAGATGCAGAGTGAGAGCAGAACAGGCCTATCTACTGAAATTCACTGCTGAAGGGAGCAGCGGGCAAGACAGGAGAGGTCTGCTGCACTGAGGCCGGGGAATTGAGCTCAGGCCACAGGTACTGATGATAATTTGATAGCACTGAGATTTTAACCCCAGTGCCACCAGGGAAGCCCCTTGATACTCCATTTTAATTTTAAGCTTCTCTGATTCTGTTCATGCCATAAGCCTGGAAATTCATCTGTGTGTATTCTATGTGAGATCATGTGGAATTCTTCCTTTTACATTTTTGGAATACTGTGTAGCACTGTTTTCATACTTGAATTTCGTAGTTTACTTTAGGTTGTATTCAATACTAGTGTTAGTGCCACAAAGGCCCTACTGGACTGGAGCAGACTGGATCTGAAAGACACATATGATCGGCTGTTTTGATAGCTGAGATTTATGTAATCAAATGCATAAACCTTTGGCTGTTAAAACCCCAGCATCCAAGGACTCATTATAGGGAACATAGCTCATCAGAGGGAACCTGAGACGATATCATGCAATGTGTGTTCTATATCACCAATGTGACATTTATTCTTCCTGGAATCTGTCTCTTGATAATTGCACTTTAGGATTTGTTGCTTGGGGATACGGAAAAAATTACTCCTAATAGAAATACTATTATATTTTATTCACAATATCCTAACTTTCAAAGGATTTAATGACAAATGTGTTTCCATTATGAAAGTAAAGTTAAATGTATTCCCAGATTGAAACAAAACATTCACAAATAAGTATTTATAGGAGGAAAATTGCTGAATGAAGGAAGATTATGGATGGAGACTTGTTTTAGGAAAGCCTTGAGAAAGAATTCATACAGTTGGGGCCAGTCGGTCCCTTCCTCCTCAGGGATGACCAGAGACACTGAGGCATGGGGGAAGTGGGGGCCGTTGTTTACACCAGGTCAGGAGATGCTGTGGGGACAATGTCACTTACTGCCTTCAGCAGCCTGTCTCCTAAGGGATGACCACACTTCTGAACTCGAGCTGTTTAGTTTCATCTTTTACTCATGACTCATGCTGATTTCAAGTTCTCTTTGGAAGGCTAGTCCTCCCCAAGGTGTTCCATTTTGGCATGTGCATTATTGAGAACAAAGGTCACTCAGAGCCCTGGAGACCTATGAGACTCTCACCACTCCTTAACATCCCACAGAAATGAAAAGTGGAGATATTGTCCAGAAATTGGTTTTTTACCAGATGTCTTTCCTATCACAAAAACCTATCTTTATGGGGGGAAATATCTAGTTAAAGAGCATCTAGTCTTTATCACATGAGTCAACTTTTCCTTATTATGTGAATTTCCTGTCTCTGGATATCCAGACCCCTATCCCATTCCTTAGTTCAGAACATAAATTTCATTTAACCCTACTTTTGGAGCCCTTATATCTATGTAGATGTCCCATCCATATGTAATTAAGTCTGGCTTTTTCTGTAACTATTATGTCTGAAGTGAATTTGATTGTTGAAAAAACCCTCAAAGAACCCAGAGGGATAGAGAACATTTCCTCCCCAACCCCACAGTGTTTTATGTAAATTTGGAGTATAGACACAGATACAGACATAGAACTGATGTGTTGGGTTTAGGTCATGAGTGATAGAAATGTGGGAGATGGTGTTTCCACATCATCGTAGAGCCCATGAGTTCCAGCATCATAACTTACTGATCTGGTGTGTCTTCTCCTGCACTGACATGATGTAAGGACATATACTTTCTCCTTTACCCCTGAAATCATTCCTAGGCAGTAGTGTTGGAGGGGAAAGGATGTCCTGAACAAACTCCACAGATAAGTGTTATGGACCCCACTCCCCACCTCAGACCAAAGAGATCCAAGTCACCAAGGACTACAAATCCCATATCATCACCAAAGGGAGGATTGCTGGGAACTGAGGGGGGAGTTGGCATATAGCCAGCTGTGTGGGTCTTGGGGGTGCTTGGTTTTTCTCTGGCTTTCAGCATGTTTTGGGGTTCAAGCTCAGTGGGACTGGTAGAATGCTTTCACCTAATATCTCCCTTTGTTTCTCCCTGAGTTATTCATTTCTTTATATTCCTTTTTTAGTTATGACCCCTTTTGTGTGTACCTGTGGTGAGTCTCATTATGAAGTCGCTTTTAAGCATGCGGGTGAGGGCCCTCAGTCAGGCCAACCTATGTCACAATGGGGTTGCCCTGTGAGAGTTTGGAGTCCAATGTGGTTGATCATTTTACACTGAGTTGACCAGCCCAAAGTAACTTTCCTTCTTTAGACTACTAATATTTATGAGTAAGCTGAGGCTGATGGTTTTTCAGTTGTTGTCTGGAATCTTTTGGCTGGTACCTGCTTCCAAGGCAGGTCTAAATTGCTCAACTGGTTTCTGCCTGTGGGGGAATTTAACCTGTAATTTCATAATTGCCTTTTGATTGTCCAGGGTCATCCTCATTTTACAAATAAGAAAGCTGAAGTCTCCTGGACCCTCCCTGGTGACACAGCAGGTTAAAGTTCAGCACTGCAAGGCAGCCACAGCCACTTTAACGAGAGTTCCATCCCTGGCTCGGAGGTGATCTACGTGGTGCAGCAGACCTCTCCTGTCTCACCTGCGGCTCCCCTCAGCAGTATACTGTGTCAAATCTGCTCCCCACTCTGTCTTTGGTGAATCCTCTCACTGCCCCCGCACCTCTGGCCTGTACCCCAGTTCTGTATTATAAATAAATAAATTTAAAATAAAAAAAAAAAAAAGGAAAGCTGAAGTCACCTATTAATGGAGATACCCAGAAAACAGGGAAAACTGGCACTAGCAATTCTGCTTTGGCCACTTTCTCTAACCCTCCTTACTCCGGGCCTCTCTTTGCCTTGGCATATCATGCTCACCAGGGTCCTGTGCTCATTACCATGACATGCCCAAGGGGACATCTGCTCAGGGTCTCCTCTCTTTGTGCCTTTGCCTCTCCTCAGAACTGTGAAAATCCATCCTTAATGTCTGTGCAAGAAATCTACATGAGCTGCCCTTTTGATTTTATTGGCATCAATTATCAAGGTGCCTCCAAACTAATTTTAAACAGTCTTTGAACAATTGAATTCACAGGGTGACCGCTTTCTGTTTACAGATCCTGAGGACCTGTAAGAGGGGGTTGTACCACTCAGTTGACTACCTGACCTGTGTGATGCCATTTAATAAGGTTAAAACCTAAGCTCCCACTCCTTGCCCACAGGAAGGTTTGGGAGGCATAAATAGATAAAGGAGTTGGTATGGTTGCTATGGGAACCAGGCTGTAAGACAGCTCATGGACCCTGAGTGGGGAAGTGGAGCAAGGACATACTCTGTGTCAAGGGTCAACACTGAAGACCAGATATAAAAGCAAATAAACTGGCCCAAAAGGACTCACTCAGTCAGTGTATCTGGGTACAAGACAGTGTATCTGGGTACAAGCTCCCCAGACAGTGTATCTGGGTACAAGAAATTCGGCTGCATTGTGCACACCCTGAAAAGCCTACACAACCACTTACCCCATTGAAGTCAGATCAAGAGACTCCGAGGTCAGGCAGAATTTGTTGCTGGGTCCTGGCTGATGTCCTGGGGGGCCACTTGCTTCCATGCAGATGACTTGCCACTGTTAAATCTTTTATGTTGTATGTGTAAAGAAAGTTTGTTGTATCACTCTTTTCAAACAGGATATTCTCATTGTTTTGCTGTTGAAATGTTGGCAGTTTGGCTTAGTTTACAAGGGTCTAATAAAAGTTTTTCCTTTGATGGCTTTCTCTGACCCCATTTTAAAATGGCTCTCGTGGTGCCAACATTTTGCAATACTCATAGAAGATATAAGTTGTTTTACAAGTTCATTCTTCAATTAGAATATGAGTGGAAAGGTGAATTCCAGTCACCCACTTAGTATAAGGTCACTTATTCTATGACACTATTTGGAATAAAATAAACACAATTATTTCTCCCAGGATACCAGATTACGATTTATAAATATGCTGATCAAAACTTTCAAGTATACAAATATGAATAAATAGGCATAATAAAATGTTGACATTGTAGCACAAATGGGGTGATACCTCAACTTTTTAAAAATAAATTATTTACTTATTTATGCATACAGAACTAGGGTACAGGCTAGAGGTTCAGAGGTAGTGAGACAATTCACCAGAGACAGAGTGGGGAGCAGAACAGGCAGATAAACGAAGTACTCTGCTGAGGGGAGCAGAGGGAGAGTGAGGAGAGGTCTGCACGCCATGTGGATCTCCTCCCCCCAGGTTGGGGATTGAACTTGCACTGAAGCAGCTGTGGCTACTTTGCAGTGCTTTGTTCTAACCTGCTGTGCCACCAGGGAGGACCGTTATCTCAACTTTTTAAAAAGTTTAATTTTATTATTTTTACAGATTGATTGAGATATATTTTAATATACAGCGTTGCATAAGTTTAAGGTGTGCAACAGGATGTCTGGATAAGCAAGTTCATACATATATAGTTAAATGATGATAATGATTACCATAGTAATGCTCATTAGTGTGTTTTAATAAAAGTGGAGAAAACAAAAACAGTCTTCTTTACAAACGTATTTAATACATGTAATTGTTCTCTTCAGACCTAATTGTTTGTTTTAACTTCCTCCTTCCTACTGGAAAAGAAAAGACAACTTTCCTAGTACTGGTGCTAATTAATCCTCAACACAATGTCGATGCTCATTACTTGGGAGCTGCTCTGCCATTGAGAGGGAGAGATCCGCAGGTGCAATGTGCACTGGGATACCTGGCCAGTGTCCTCACCTGAGTCCAGGCGAGAGCTCAGTCCTTTTGCCCTTTGACTCGCACTTCCGCGCGCCGCCTCCAGGGGCGCCCGGGGCTCTCGCGAACGGACTGGGCGGCTGCATTGGGCGAGGGTGGGTGTGGCTGCAGGTGAGAGCGCCCCGCCAGCAGCTGCGCGGAGGAGCCGGGCTGCGAGTTGGGAGCGCGCGACCTCGAGAGGGCGGGAACCGAAGACCTCTGCGCGGAACGGCTGGCAGAGCTCCTTGGGCTTGGGGATGAGGGAGCCCCAGCGAATGTGAACATGGACCCTGTCGCTGGAGACCTTTTCAGGATGATCTTTCTTTTGTCTGCTCAGCCCTGGAGCACAGTAGTAGCAGGGAATATGTGTGAGTACAATCTTATGAAACTTACATCGACAACTTAGAATTTGTCTTTTCCTATTAATTGGTATTTGCAGATGAAAATTGTGGCATGTTTCTGAAAATAAGACATTTAAAAATATATCGCAAAGTCCCAGCGCTCAGAGAGGGTGATTTATAACGTTTTTTCCTCTTGTCAAGTCTAAAATACTCAAAAGCATGTTTGACTTTTTGCCGGTGAGCTGAATCTGTGCTGTTGTTTTGAATATTCTTTGCAAAGCTGAAGTTCGAAACCTAAAATTAGCATGAGAATACTCCGACGAGACGCTCAGAGAACTGTATTGCGATAGTGAGGACGGCGTGGCACGGTGGTCATTTTTTTCCTTTTTCGTATGCACGCATTTTGTGGGGTTATGCCAGGAAAGGAAACCGCGGGCCGACGCGGCTGGGTCCTGCATTAGCGTAGAGGTTTGCTGTTGGCGCTCTGCGGAATCCGGAGACCAGACCGGGCGCCGCCGGAGCGGGCTCTATAGCAGAGCCCAGCACGCACATTTGACTGTTCGGGAAAGTGCAGACCCCTCAAACAGCAGGAAAAAACATAGCCCGCCGTCCTGGTCTTTTGCAAGGTACATGCTTACATATTGTGATTGGTTGTCTTTTTGTTTTTTGTTGATTGAAGCTACATTCAGCTCTCCCTTCTGGGCTAGCACACACACAGTCACCTGAAGATGCTTTGCCAGGTTGATTTCAGCCAACCTTAAGGTATTTGACCAAAAAAAAAAAAAAAGAAGTTTTAGAAGTTGTATTCAGATTGAAATGTCCTCTACAGGATTTTCTTTCCTTGAAAGATTTTAAGGATATCTCCCTTGTCCTCACTCTAGACCTAGGAGACTTTTTTTTTTTTTTATCATGTTGTGGGGAGTGGTGAGCATTTGAGAAAGTGCTAGTAGGCCTGTCCAGAAACTGACCTTGCAGTTGAGTATCTAGACCTTACTTTTGGATACCCACTCTGCCTTCATCAGGAAGATTGCCCTGAAGTGAAAAGCCTGACAAATGCAGCTAGCTTTGCTTGTTTTCATCCCTGTAAACTCTGGGCTATGATTATTTTGTGCTTCATCATTTAGTATATAGCTCATTTAGTGCCATATAGTTTGAGGTGTTTCTAAAAATGAGCCTTAGTTTTCTTTATACACATTCTGCCCTGTTTCAGGCACACTTTTAGTTTAACACAACAGCCTCAATGAATTAGCTAAAATATTTGCATAAAATCAAAATCTTGGGCCCTGCAACAGGCTAGTTAAGAACAACATTCTTCCAAGAAATTATCAGTGGCTAGTACTAAATGACTTGATTATATAAATGAACAGCAGAATATTTCATTATACTAAGCCGAGGTACAAATAGAAAGTCACTGGAGGTCACTCTTAAAAGAAATGTGGCTTCAAAATGCTTCCTACAAAAGAAGCAGAATCGTGACTGTTTCTGCTTCCTTAATTGTGATTACAGGGTATTGATATAATTAGTTGTTCTCATGCTTATTTCTTTTTGTATTTTTATTCCCTAACATCTAAGGGAGTAGCAAGATCTTTTACACTGAGTATCCTTAATGGAATCATACTGTAAGGGACTATGTGTGGATGACCATCCAAGTTTGAATTGGTCTTTAAACTCAGTCCTTTTGGGTCTTTACTCTGTTTACAATTTCCATAGATTGAATATTTTTGTTAAAAGTGCAATTGATTTTAATAACTATGTACATTTGTATTACTGAGAACATTTTAGGTACTAAAGTTAGAGTCCCTCATCACCACAAAGATGGTTATTGATAGTTCTTCAAGTGTCAAGTATGCATTTCAATAACTTTGTAGATTTAAAGATTCATTATGAAGGATAAAATTGGGCTTTTAATAGCAAACTTCATGTAGTAATAGGTTTATAATGATGCAGAGTTGAAGCTTATAAAATAATGCAATATTACTTTAATAAAATGTTTGACAATATATTTGATATCAAAGCAAAAAAAGATTATCATAGAGGCCACACAAATTGTGCTTGATAATTTCTTGATCTCAATTTAATAGTATGATTTGTAACACTTGAAGCAATGGGTAATGAATCTCATTATGGTCTAAACTCATTAATTTGACCAGTTTTCCTTTAACTCTTGAATAGTTGAGACACATTTTCATAACTATATATATGCATGTATATATATCTATATATATATACACAAGCAAGATATTTTAAGCTTGCCTTTGAAATTTATTATAACTAAATGGGGTGTGGGGCTTCTGGTTCTCCATAACTTCAGTAATTCTAAAGAGGAATTTGCCAGCATTGCACAAGCTTTTTGATGGCTAGCCTTTTTTATTTAAGAGTGTTTTAAAAACTCAATCCTTTCAGACTTAAAAAAATGAAATTTTGTTGAGCACAGGCAAGAAATGAATGAGAACTGTGAACAAATAATGTAAAACACTTCCTCCCAGTCTATTCAGTGACGTATTTGCTCTATTTACAGCTGACCCTCAGTAGTAAATCTACCACCTGAGGGTCAGCCTCCTGTGGCCTTTAGACATCCTATCAAGAAACATGATTTCTCAGAGATATTTGACATCTCAGTTACACATGTTTTGATACAAATCATTTTAACTAATGAGACAATTTTAAGGCAAGACGATTTTACATTTTAACTTCAAGATTTGAAATAGATTCAAACTCCTTCTTCCTTGGTGTATTAGGTTCCCTATGTGCAAAAATAAAAGTGTATTAATATAATCGCGTATAGAAATGATCACCCAATGTTACCCTTTTAAACTATAAGTAGCATATACAGTATATGTTTAAATATATCTAGATGCAAGATTGAGACGTTAGTAATGCATATCCTAACCTTATCATATACTTAAGTCTTAATTGGTATAAAAATATCTGCAAGTCGACTGGAGGAAGCGGACATCATACTATAGTTGCTAAGATGTATACAATCAAGAGCATTTATTAACTAAATAATAATGTCTCCTAATGCATTTGTAACATATCTCTTCTCAAAGATTTGTTACAGAATTTTACTCTTGGGCACTGATTCTTTTAAGTTGTCAACATTCGTTAGTGTTAAGTGAGCATATTTAATCTTAAGTATTGTGTCATGTGTGATAAGATAGCTTTGAAAGAAAATTTTGCTGATTTGACTAATATGGACTAAAATCTTGCTGTTATTTGAAGTGGTTTTGACTTTGTACAAAAGCACTGTTAGTATGTGTGAGTTCCATCTTCCAAGTTAATCAGCTGGTGCAAGAAGGGGACCAGTCAGGAAACATGTCAGGGGCATGGGTGACTGGGAATCCATTCCTTGATATGGTGAAACTTGTTGAGAGAATGAACAGGGACAGGCATGTTAGTAGGTACCAGAACTTGACCTTTTGGGAAAGAAACTTCAACAAACCAATAAACAGACTCTTATTTTTAATAATTGAATACATTTCCCAGAAATGCTGAGGTCAGAAATACTTTTGGAAACTTAGTGTAAACAAGAACATTTTTCCTAAAAATTTATAAATTCCATTCGATTATCACCACAGAGTGCCAGGTAAGGATAGAGCCAGAAGCTCTTACAATTGGAAAACTAAGCAAAAACAAACAAAATGAACCTAAGGGCACATTATTAATGGTGCTCCAGGTATAGAAAGATGTTCCAGGGAGAGGACAGGAGCTCACTGAAATCTTTATTTTTTTCTTTCAGTTGATTGGGAAAAAAACAAAACAAACAGAAGAAAACAAAATTTATTCAAAAGTAAAAAAAAAAAATCATTCAAAGTATTTAATAAAAAATAGAGTTACTTACAGAAGACTGAGTAAATTTTAGGGGATTTTTTTCCCTTGCAAATCAAAATTAGGGCTTGAATATAAAATTTTAAAGAAGTGAAAACAATTTGTGAATTAACATTTTCAACATTTACCTGTAATTCGATATTTCTGAACAACAAAGAATTAACCACTGGGTCTTCTCTCATACCTTTCAGAGCCTTTGAAGGCCTGACTTCCACATATATAGTTCTTGAGAGTAACTTCTGCCATCTGCCCATGTAGCTAGACCTCTGTTGTTTAGAATAGCTCTTTTAAAATGGATTTTCTGGCTATTTCTGGAAGACCTTCATCCAAATGTACCTTCAAATATAGAAACTTGTTTTTCCTAACTTGAATACACAGCATAGGACTATATGCTTCAAATGTCCTTTATGTTTTATACACAACCTGGAAATATGCAAAAGGAAAATGTGACCTTTCAAAGTTACTGAAGGCACTGTTTAAAAAAATCTACAGGATTGTTTAATTACTTAGAAGAATGCACAAATCTGACATAGTTGTTTCGGATTAGATCCTTGTTTATACACTGTGATGCAGTAAGGTAAATTGATGACTTTTTCCCTCCATGTACAAAATGGTAACTACTTTCTTTGCCCTGTAGGACAGTAATAGTTTTTATGTAACCTAGCAACCTCATTCTACCATTCCTTTATAAATATCTGTAAATTCCCAAGCTTCTTAAACTGCTTTTTTTTTTTTTTTACCAATCATGCATCCTGCATTTGTTACATTTGTATGAGTGATGCTTTTAACTTTTTTGAAATCATGCTCTGACCTAAGAAGTGTAGGTATTTCGTAAGTGTATGCGTAACCTTGTATGATAATAAATGTGCTTAGTGTAGTTGTTTCTTGACAATAAATTTCCTTCTGGCTCATTGGAAAGTTTAATGAAACAGCGAGACTGACTTGCAACAGAAGGTAAAGCTTCCTCCTTAGGTTCCAGGTAGTGGTTATTTTCAACATATGGAATTGAAGATTATCAAAGCGTAAAATTTTTGACACTTTAAATACTTCAAAATTAGAAAATTGCTAACTTTTATTTAAGGTTATGCTCACTTAATAGACTTTTTTTTTTAAAATTTGTCATGTTTGTAAATCACAAATGAAAAAATATATCTTATCTAGCTGTGAATTTTATTTTTATTTGGTGTACTTTAGGATCA